CAAGGCATTTTACTGTATAGGTTTGGAGAAAACTAAAAGCAAAATAACACCAAACAACAAAATTGCACCCTTACACGTGCACTGTCCCATTTTCCAACACTCATAAAAAATTTCCCTTTATAGGTTAGCTCATTCTTTTAATTGATATGTATTCAGAGTGACCCTAACTATCACTTTATTAATTTTCAAGGCATTGTACTGTATACTTTTGGAGAAAACTGAAAGCAAAATCACCCTATTCATTTTCAAGGCATTTTACTGTATAGGTTTGGAGAAAACTAAAAGCAAAATCACACTAAACAACAAAATTGCGCCCTTACACGTGCACTGTGTCCCATTTTCCAACACTCAAAAAAAATGTCCCTTTATAGGTTAGCTCATTCGTTCAATTAATATGTGTTCAGAGTGACCCTGACTATCACTCTATTCGTTTTCAAGGCATTTTACTGTATAGGTTTGGAGAAAACTGAAAGCAAAATCACCCAAAACATCAAACTCCATTGTGGCACTTTGATCATTTCCATATATTCCAAAACATTTATAAAAAAATTTCCTTTATAGGTTAGCTCATTCTTTCAATTGATAAGTATTCAGAGTGACCCTGACTATCACTTTATTCATTTTCAAGGCATTTTACTGTATAGGTTTGGAGAAAACTGAAAGCAAAATCACCCAAAACATCAAACTCCATTGTGGCACTTTGATCATTTCCATATATTCCAAAACATTTATAAAAAAAATTCCTTTATAGGTTAGCTCATTCTTTCAATTGCTAAGTATTCAGAGTGACCCTGACTATCACTGTCTCCATTTTTAAGTAATTTCACTGTATAGTTTTGGAGAAAACTAAACGCAAATTCACACCAAACAACAAAATTGCACCCTTACACGTGCACTTTGTCCCATTTTTCAACACTCATAAAAAAATGTCCCTTTATAGGTTAGCTCATTCGTTCAATTAATATGTGTTCAGAGTGACCCTGACTATCACTCTATTCGTTTTCAAGGCATTTTACTGTATAGTTGTGGAGAAAACTAAAAGCAAAATCACCCCAAACAACAAAATGCGTCCTGGCACTTGCACTGTGTCCCATTTTCCAACACTCATAAAAAAGGTTCCTTTATAGGTTAGCTCATTATTTCAATTGATATGTATTCAGAGTGACTCTGACTATCACTCGATTCATTTTCAAGGCATTTTACTGTATAGTTTTGGAGAAAACTAAAAGCAAAATCACACTAAACAACAAAATTGCGCCCTTACACGTGCACTGTGTCCCATTTTTCAACACTCATAAAAAAATGTCTCTTTATAGGTTAGCTCATTCTTTCAATTGATATGTATTCAGAGTGACCCTGACTATCATTTTATTCATTTTCAAGGCATTTTACTGTATACTTTTGGAGAAAACTGAAAGCAAAATCACCCAAAACATCAAACTCCGTTGTTGCACTTCGATTATTTCCGTATATATTCAATCATTCATAATAAATTGTCCTTTTATAGGTTAGCTCATTCTTTCAATTGATAAGTATTCTGAATGAGCCTGACTATCACTGTCTCCATTTTTAAGTCATTTTACTGTATAGTTTTGGCGAAAACTAATAGCAAATTCACTCCAAACAACAAAATGCGTCCTAGCACTTGCACCGTGTCCCATATTCCAACACTCATAAAAAAGTGTTCCTTTATAGGTTAGCTCATTCTTTCAATTCATATGTATTCGGGGTGAACCTGACTATTACTGTATTAATTTACAAGTCAGTTTTAGAGAAAATTAAAAGGCAAATTCACAGCAAGCATCTGAGTGCATAAGAACTTTTACATCACGTCCCATTTTCAAACACTCATAAAAATCTTTCATTTATAGGTTTGCTCATTCTTTCAATTGATTCCTGTTCACAGTGATACTGACTATTACTGTATTAATTTTCAAATATTTTTACTGTATGGTTTTGGAGAAAATTAAAGGCAAATTCACCCCAAGCATCTAAATGCATAAGCACTTTTGCATCACGTCCCACTTTCAAACCCTCATAAAAATATTTTCTTTAGAGGTGTGCTCGTTCTTTTAATTGATTCCTGTTCAGTGTCCCTGACTATTACTGTAGTAATTCTCAAATATTTTTACTGTATAGTTTTTGAGAAAATTAAAGGCAAATTCACCCCAAGCATCTAAGTGAATAAGCACTTTTACATCATGTCCCATTTTCAAACCCTCATAAAAATCTTTCCTTTACAGGTTTGCTCGTTCTTTTGATTGATTTCTGTTTACAGTCACCCTGACTATTGCTGTATTAATTTAACAAATTTTTGACTGTATGGTTTTGAAGAAAATTAATGGCAAAATCCCTACAAAAAAACGAAGTGCATTCTACCAGTTGCACCATTACCCATTTCCAAATTATTAATTTTCATGTAATTTTACTTCACAGTTTCTGGGAAACGTAAACTCACTCCAAAAATGTTTTCATAGTGTATTGTTGCACTCATGTCCCATTTTCTAACATAAAGTTTCCATTTTTTAAGGAATTATTACGCAAACGTACCATGCTTATTACCATATCAAACTGACTCTTATTGTATATATAGTATTGGACAAAATTGCTGGGAAATACTCTCCTGACGTCATACTGTCATGTTACACTCAGGCAAGAAGGAGCGAAGGAGACAAGAGAATATTTTCGAACATTGACTTTAATTTGAATACATGGGGAACTTCAGAGACACAGCAACACGACGTTTAACAGCAGACAAAGAAACACTGGGACACACCTGGGAGCAAATTAACTAATTAAACAAACACAGCTGGAAACTAATTCATACAACGAGGACAGGAACAGGAAGGAGCAAATAAGGGCAAACAGGAACTCAACGGGAACACACACGTGACACATACAATCAACCTCTTCTTACATTTTAATTGTTAGTGTCACATTTAATTAAGTTAAAATCTTAATTTTAACCTTAGGAACTGATTATGTTCATCCCCCCTTTGAGCAGTCCTTATTTGTGTCCATGGTTACTAATTTCTAACCATTAGTTACATTTCTTATGTCTTTGCTTTTATAGCTTTTATTTGACACAAACACAACAGAACTGCTAGATTTAAATCAGCACAGCCAGCGAAGGATCGAACGCAACTGTTTTGAACAAACGCTCTTTTTTGTAACATCCAAAAAAATTGCTTTTTTTTGTGGTCTGCAATGCCCTCGTGTCTGTCTCTTTGTTGGATTGGCATCGATCTGCTGCAACTGAACAATGGTTTCTACAAATAAAAGTATTCTAATGTGTGTTTCAGCTCTACGGAGCCCATTTGTTGCTCTTGTTGTATTTGAGTTTCAGTTTATTTTTTTTTGGTTTGAATGTTTGGTTTTGGGTTTATTGTCTAGTCCGCCCGGGTACTTGAATCGGTAATTAGGCTGAAAGAAATGGGAAAGGCCCTTTTGGCGGACTAGTTTTCTTTTGTTTATTTATGTTTCGTTTGTTTCCCCCATTGTTTGTATATACTTTACAAGGACGCTATATGCTTAGTGTTTAAGCAGAGTTGAGCTATTTTTGCAAGTAATTTACTTTTGATGAATTTATTTAATGGGTTTTTGTGTGATTTTTGCTTTTTTTTTGTATGGTTTGATGCTCAACTCTTGCTGGGTTAACTCATGTGTAAGGTGTCCTGTTTAATAAAAAAAAAACTCTGTGAAGCCATCAATAAATCATGGGGATTTATTTAAAGGGGTCATATGATGCGATTAAAATTTTTCCTTTCTCTTTGGAGTGTTGCAAGCTCTTGGTGCATAAAGAAGATCTGTAAAGTTGCAAAGACTAAAGTCTCAAATCCAAAGAGATATTCTTTATAAAAGTTCAGCCTTAACCACACGTACCTAAAACGGCTCGTTCAAACATGTCTACGTCACTATGTGGGAAGATTTGCATAACGCCGCCCAACTGTTCACGCAAAGAAAGAAGGCGTAACTTTTATTCTCGCTGTAGTATTGTTGCTGCCGCCATGTCTTGAAGGCGTTGTGTGTTTCGTTGTAAAAGCGAAACTACTTTGTTTGGCCTTCCAAAAGAGGACATAATGTTTCTTTAAAGTGGGGCAGTTCCAACTTTGCAAGGACAGTCTGACGCTTCTGACTCGCAGCCTGTAAGTACGTTTTTTGTATTTAAAGAATTTGCCACTGATTATTCAAACGTGAGTTTGATCAGTGTAGAGTAGCGCTTATTGTTTGTCATTTCTCCGATCACAAATACAGACATGGTTTCATGTTTACGCGGCGCAATACGCAACGCAAAGCGTAAAAGCACAGTATAAGTCATTACAATCAGTAATTATGTCCCCACTGGATGCT